AAAATTATTAATCCATAAATAACTTCCTGTATATTAATAGGGTATAATTCGTCTTGGTAAATTATATACTATATTTAATGGAGATTCGAATGGTATATCGTAACCCAATTCGCGATGATTACTTCATCGGGCAAATCCACTTTGAAAATATCAGTCAAAAAAAATAACCCAAAATTATTAATCCATAAATAACTTCCTGTATATTAATAGGGTATAATTCATCTTGGTATATTAGATACTATATTTAATGGAGATTCGAATGGTATATCGTAACCCAATTCGAGATGATTACTTCATCGGGCAAATCCACTTTGAAAATATCAGTCAAAAAAAATAACCCAAAATTATTAATCCATAAATAACTTCCTGTATATTAATAGGGTATAGTTCGTCTTGGTATATAGATACTATATTTAATGGAGATTCGAATGGTATATCGTAACCCAATTAGCGATGATTACTTCATTGGGCAAATCCACTTTGAAAATATCAGTCAAAAAAAATAACCCAAAATTATTAATCCATAAATAACTTCCTGTATATTAATAGGGTATAATTCGTCTTGGTATATTAGATACTATATTTAATGGAGATTCGAATGGTATATCGTAACCCAATTCGCGATGATTACTTCATCGGGCAAATCCACTTTGAAAATATCAGTCAAAAAAAATAACCCAAAATTATTAATCCATAAATAACTTCCTGTATATTAATAGGGTATAGTTCGTCTTGGTATATAGATACTATATTTAATGGAGATTCGAATGGTATATCGTAACCCAATTAGCGATGATTACTTCATTGGGCAAATCCACTTTGAAAATATCAGTCAAAAAAAATAACCCAAAATTATTAATCCATAAATAACTTCCTGTATATTAATAGGGTATAATTCGTCTTGGTATATTAGATACTATATTTAATGGAGATTCGAATGGTATATCGTAACCCAATTCACGATGATTACTTCATCGGGCAAATCCACTTTGAAAATATCAGTCAAAAAAAATAACCCAAAATTATTAATCCATAAATAACTTCCTGTATATTAATAGGGTATAGTTCGTCTTGGTATATTAGATACTATATTTAATGGAGATTCGAATGGTATATCGTAACCCAATTCGCGATGATTACTTCATCGGGCAAATCCATTTTGAAAATATCAGTCAAAAAAATAACCCAAAATTATTAATCCATAAATAACTTCCTGTATATTAATAGGGTATAATTCGTCTTGGTATATTAGATACTATATTTAATGGAGATTCGAATGGTATATCGTAACCCAATTCGCGATGATTAATTCATCGGGCAAATCCACTTTGAAAATATCAGTCAAAAAAAATAACCCAAAATTATTAATCCATAAATAACTTCCTGTATATTAATAGGGTATAGTTCGTCTTGGTATATTAGATACTATATTTAATGGAGATTCGAATGGTATATCGTAACCCAATTCGCGATGATTACTTCATCGGGCAAATCCACTTTGAAAATATCAGTCAAAAAAAATAACCCAAAATTATTAATCCATAAATAACTTCCTGTATATTAATAGGGTATAATTCATCTTGGTATATTAGATACTATATTTAATGGAGATTCGAATGGTATATCGTAACCCAATTCGCGATGATTACTTCATCGGGCAAATCCACTTTGAAAATATCAGTCAAAAAAAATAACCCAAAATTATTAATCCATAAATAACTTCCTGTATATTAATAGGGTATAATTCGTCTTGGTATATTAGATACTATATTTAATGGAGATTCGAATGGTATATCGTAACCCAATTCGCGATGATTAATTCATCGGGCAAATCCACTTTGAAAATATCAGTCAAAAAAAAATAACCCAAAATTATTAATCCATAAATAACTTCCTGTATATTAATAGGGTATAATTCATCTTGGTATATTAGATACTATATTTAATGGAGATTCGAATGGTATATCGTAACCCAATTCGCGATGATTACTTCATCGGGCAAATCCACTTTGAAAATATCAGTCAAAAAAAATAACCCAAAATTATACCATTCGAATCAGCAGAAAATTCTGTATCTAAAACACCAAGACGAATTGTACCCAATCAATATACAAGAAGATATAATACAATATATAATTTTTTAATATTTTTTTTAATTGAATATTTTCAAATTTGATTTTCTTGATGTTTATACCTGCGACTGGAATATTCTATATACCATTCGAATCAGCAGATAATTCTGTATCTAAAACACCAAGACGAATTGTACCCAATTAATATACAATATGATATAATACAATATATAATTTTATAATATTTTTTTAATTGAATATTTTCAAATTTAATTTTCTTGATGGTTATACTTGCGACTGGAGGATTCTATATACCATCGAATCAGCAGAAAATTCTGTATCTAAAACACCAAGACGAATTGTACCCAATCAATATACAAGAAGATATAATACAATATATAATTTTTTAACATTTTTTTAATTGAATATTTTCAAATTTGATTTTCTTGATGGTTATTCGTGGGTTGATGGTTATTCCTTAATGTTTATTAATAATTTCAATTCATTTTCAATTCATGAATTTTTTCAGACAAATTATTAACCATCTCTCTAATCTTTTTAACTCATTTTGTAACACATCAATGCGATCATCTTCATTGAATTCTTCGACCTCGTTTTGATTTTCAGGATAGAATTCTCTACAATCAACTTGAACATGTCTTGCTCGATGACAGTAGTTGCAAACTAAATAATTACCTCCTTGTTTAATAAGTTTATGTGAGCATGAATTTTCCGGTTGTGGACTTGCCGAAGCATTTGAAGTTCCTTGTATCCAGCTTGGTTCTATTAATTGAAAGTTTGCTTCATTAATTTTTACATCAAAATTTATTTCTAATTCTTGAACATACGTTACGAGCTTGTCAAAGCTCGTAACGCTCGTTATTGAAATGTTTATCAGGGGAGGTCCATCTGTATTTTTTTTATTTGTAAGACCACAAAACTTTATATTATTTTTTGCAATTTATTATTATTTTTTATTATCTTTTTCATCAATCAAAAAACTAAAAAAGGGCAAGTTGCGCGCTGTTGATGAAAGGTTTTGCTTTATTTTAAAGGAAATGGATATATAAATATTTTAGGATTTTAGTTTTACATTGTGCAATTTGTTTATTACAATTATTTTATATAACTAGTTATTTAACCTTTTTTATGGACAAAAAATTATTTTTTTCGAATAAAAAATAATTTTTAAAAATATTTTTTGTCCTTTTTTATTATAAGGAAGGAAGATCATCTGGCTAAGATTTAAAACGCTTACAGGGTAGGATTATTACAGGTACGCCTCAGCAACCAAATATGTCACGGTTGGAGAAAAAATAGTTAAAAATTTTCTTCGGATCGGAGTTAGGTTTAGGGTCTTGATTTTGGGTCGGGTCATTTAGGTGGATTAAAAGGGAAGAAATCTGGTCGTGTTTTTGAAAATTTTTCATATCGGTTTTCGGGTAACCTGTGACATCCCTGATACATACTTAATGAGTTGTAGCCCAATTACAAGATGGTTGCAGTTTCGATGTCTGTCCGATGCTAAACTTTTTTTTACCTATCTCCTACTTTTATTAAATAGTATCTCTCCTCGATCCAAATCCTATTTATCAAAATTTATTTTTAAATATTTAAAAAACTCATTTTATTATTCTTTTTTCTCTTCCGCTTATTTTGATCTTTAACGTTTATTAACAAGTTTTTTTTATCATTTCATGGATATATTAAATTCAATTAGGCAAATTTTTGTTCAAATGATTGCGCTTCTTATTTTTCTCTCTCTTTTATTTTCATTTTTCTCTTGATAAAAAATCCAAAAAATATTTTTTTGCTAATTAAATTGAAGATAAATGTACCATGTTCTTAGTGAAGCTTATTAATAAATATCTCAAAATTTATTTATTTCTAAAAGTCCTCTAAGGAAGACCAGCCAGGGATTTAGCCTAAATACGACCTCTTTGCAGTAGAATTGTTAGGAGGAGGTTCGATAACTATGTTCAGGTAAGGAATGGTTCGGATTACTCCTTACTCCAATACTTGTACCTTTTTTTTGATCCGAAACCCGAGCCGAAGTGAATTTTGTATGTCCGACCCAAATCTTGATACACTGACCTTTTTCTCTCATTTATGTAGAACTACAGTAACCATGACTTTCTCTCTCTCTTTTTTTTTATGGACCTCAATCTACCTTAAATGCTTCTATGTAGCTGGATCTTGTTTTCTTAAAACCTAATACCCAACGCTTTTTTTCTCATTCATATAGAACTACAGTGTCGATGATTTTCCTCTCTCTCTTTCTTCTATGGTACTTAATCTACCTTAGATGCTTCTAGCTGGATCTTGCCTTCCTTAAAATATATTTTCTTGCTTAAAAAATAATCCAAGGTCTCCAAAAAAATTTTTTTACTTATCACAACCATTTTATCTTTTAATTTATTATAGTTATTTATTATAACCTCTCGGGAAACATAAAAAATAAATATTAAAAAAATTTTTTTAACAGCCTTCCCTACATATTACCTCTATAAAAAACAACTTTATTATTCCCTTATATTATTTGCGCGCACAAAACTAGCCATCGGCATTACATATATAAAAAATAAAAACAAGCATTTAAATAAATATACTGGTTAATATCTCCTAATAAAGTTGAAAGAACAAAACAAAAAAATTTTTAATGGAAAAAAGAAGAAGCGGATAAGGGAGAAAGTTCCTTTATACAAAAAAGAAGCTAATAAACCGCTCCTATCTTTTACTATTTTCTCCTTTTGTTTTAAAGGATATTTGTAACTGATTTAAAGGAGAGCTTGTTTTTCTTTGTTTTATAATTGTTCAAGCTTCTCAAATTGTATTATTTTTTGAAAACTATTGTTCTAATTTTGTGAAAAATTTTTGAAAAAAATATTGACTCATAATGGTCAAAATTTTGTAAAAATTAAAAAAAAATTTTTTTGACTCATAATGGTCAATCTCTTATAATTAAAATTTTTTTCAGAAAATGACCACCATATTATTTGTGGTCCTTCTACTACTATCACAGCACTATTCCCAAGCTGTTCCCGTGCCCAGTTCAAAACTCTCATCACCACTTGTATCTATAGACAATGGTAGATTTATAAGAAAAATCTAAACTTAAGCCCTCTCTTGAGGGTCAAAAAAATTTAAAAAAATTTTCCTTCTCTAGGCTGCCTAGTAACCTTCGAAATCGTGCCTGAACACATGTTGGCTATAACCTTGCCAAATTTAAAATTAACTAAGACAACAGCTGTGCAAAGGTGAATACTGTAACCCTCCCCTAATTAACCCTCTCCCTCCCTCAATTAAAGCTTAAACGAATGCGCCTTCGTTTGCTACTCAAATTTCTGTTCTGCCGCCATCTTTGAATTGGGACAGCCAGAATCTCGTTGCCATCTACAAATCGGACCGAGCGAGACTTGCAATAGAAGAGGACAGAGACATTATTCTTTTAGAAATGAGCCTAGAGCTATTATTAGCTGTATTAGATGCAGTGAGATTTTTAAAGAAATTTTAGAAAATTTCAAAGAAAATTTTTTCTAGGCCCTTCAAAACCCGTCACAGTCTCTCACGATGCTGAACTTCCCCCTCACATAACCACAACACCCCTATCTTTTGTTTCAACAACTACTACGACGACTACTAGTTCAGCATTCTCTCCATCTGCTAAACCTTTCAGTACTTTACCTCCTCCAACATTGCCCCCGGTAGCTCCGGTTGCTCCTGTGGACCCAAATGTTGGGATTAAAAAATTTTTTTAATTTTAAAAATCCTTTAAAGGTCCAACAACCAGTTGAACAGCTACCACTAACAAACACAATTCTTCCTCCTATCCCTCCTTCCGATGAAGAGATGACTACAATTAGGGTAGATGATGAAGCTACTATCGCAAAAATGGAAGAGAATTTGGATGAAAGGAAGGAAGAGGTGAAGGAAGAGATCAAGGAAGAGGACGGGAAGAAGAAAAAACCGAAGGAGGAGGAGGAAGAATTTGTGAAGAGAACAGTTTTACAAAAAACGGAGAATGAAGAGAAAAATACTGTTGACTTGTTAAATAATGAAGGGAAGGAAGAGGTGATGGTTAAGGAAGAGAATATTGGCAGAGATGAGGAAAAGCCTAAAAAATTGTTTAAATCTGTATTTTCATTGGATTTATTGGCAGAAATGCATTCTAGAAGGGGTTGGCACATTGCGGCACCTTCAAAGGACAAAATGGTCAGTTACACAAGGGTCAATAATTCTTTGATAATTTTTAGGCAGTCGAGGTTTCTAAGAAAGAAGATAATCAAACAAAATCAGTCAGTGGAAAAGAAAGAAGTAAACTTGAAGATAAGGAAAAGAAGAGTTTGGAGGATGAAAAGGAAGGAAAAGAGAAGGAAGACTTTTTCTTTTTGAAGGAAAAGAAGGAAGATAAAAGAGAGAAGGTAAAGGCAGAAGATACGGTTGATGTTAAGGAAGGAAGAAGTTTGAGTGAAGGAGAAAAGTTGAAGAATGAGGAAGAGAAAAGGGGAAGAAAAGAAGAAAAGGAGGGGGTTAAAAAGGAGAAGATTGACAAGGAAGAGAAGGGGAAGAGGAAGAATTCTAAGGAAGACTTGAAGAGCGATGAAAAGGATGAAGGAAAGGATAAAATGGAAGGAAAGGAGAAGAAAAAAGAGGAAGATGAAGAAGCAAACGGAAAGGATGAGAAGAAGAAAAAGACAAAGGAAGAGAAGGAAGGGGAGTCTAGCGATGAAAAGCCGCCCATTAAAAAGCTTAAAAAGGAGGAAAATGAACTTTTCAAACGAAATTTGAAGATACATACTTTGGATTTAATTAAAGAAGAGGGAAGAAAATGGAAAGAAGCTGGAGATGAGAAAGACAAACTTGAAGAAAAAGAATTGAAAAATATTTTATTAAATGAGAAAGAAGCTAAAATGGGAGAAAAACTAGAAACAGAAGAAAGTGAACTTGTTTTGACAACGACAGGAATGAGTATTGATGAGAGAATTGGTAAAAGTAAGGTAACTGAAGATGAAATAAAGAAGGATAAAAGGAAGAAGAATAAAGAAGGATTGTCTGAAGAGGATTTGAAGGATGAGAAGGGAGAAGATACAAGGGAAAAGAAGGGTGATAAAAAGGAAGATGATAAGAAGAGAGAGGGAGATGAAGAGGGAAGATCAGAGGATAAGGAAAAGAGAAGCAGGAAGGAAGATGATAAGAAAAAGGAAAGAAGGGAAGAGGATCAAGAGGAAGAGAAACTGCCTTCTTTGAAAATTGGGAAAGGAAATGTTGAGGAAGAGAAGAAGAGAGAAACGGAAAAGAAACAGACAAAAACTGAAAAAGTGAAGAAGGAAAGTGATGATTTGACACTCTTCTCTACTGATAATCAAGAAGAGACGATGGATAAGAAAACTAAAATAGAGGATAGAAAAGAAAGAAAGAATGCTGGAAGAGAAAAGGGTGAAGATGAAAAGAGTGAGGAAGTAAAAAATGTTAAGGATGAAAAAATAAGACAGGATAAGGATATTGGAAAGAAAGAGAAGAAGGAGGAAAGGATAAAAGCTGACGAGGAAAGGAAGGGTAGAGAAAAAGAGACAGGAAAGGAAGAAACGGAAAAGGAAGAAAAAGTTGAGGAAGAACAGAAGAAAAAAACTTTGGAAGAAAAGATTAGAAAGAATAAAAATGATGAAGATGCCTCGAAGGAAGATATAAAGGAGAGAATGGAAGAAAATGGAGAAAAGGAAGAGCTTGGCGTTATAAAAGAAGTGCGAAAGAAAAAGACGGAGGAAAAAGAGATTAGAAAAGAGAAGAAATTAGAAGGGAAGAAAAGTCTTGAAGAAGAAGACGAAGATAATTCTTCTAATAAATTGAAGAAGGAAGAGCTTGCTTTATTGAAGAAGAATGTTACAAATGAAAACGAACAGTTTGTGGCTAGGAGGAATTTGGAGGTTGGAAGGGAAGTTGGAAGAGAAGAAGATGAAAAATTAAGTTTAGCTTCTGTAAATAAGAAAGCTATAGATGAATTTAAAGAAGTGGAAGAAGGAAAAACGGAGAAAGTTAAGGATAGTGAGTCAAAAATCAAAAAAGAGTTGGGTGATGAGAATGTGAAGAGAAAGAAAATTAAAGCTGAAGAGAAGAAAAATGTAAAGGAAGAAAGTGTAGAATGTGAAGAGGAAGAGGAATCAGCTGAAAAAAGGAAGGAAAAAGATGGAAAGAAGGAAGAAATGAAAATAAAAGAGAGAAGAGATGAGAAGAATGGTGAAACTAAAATAGATAAAGACGAAAGGAAGGAAGAATCTAATACCAAATTAAGAAGGGAAGATGATCAAAAGGGTGTTGATAAAGAAGAAAAAGAATCGAAGAGTGTAACTAAAGTAAAAGATGAACAAAAGAGAGATGGAAAAGTCAAGGAAGAAGAAACGAGGTTAAAGAAAGGAAAGGAAGATGAGCAAAAGAAGGAAGAGAAGAGGGAGGATGAAAGGAAACTGAATGAAGAAAAAGACGTGGTGAGAATGGACGTGGATAATACAAAGTTGAGGAGAGAAGAAAAGGAGAATGTGGATGAAGAAAAGGAATCTAAGAGGATGACAAAAGGAAAGGAAGAAGAAAAGAGGGAAGAGAAAATCGAGGAGGATACAAGAGGGTTGAAGAAAGAAAGAGATGAACAAAAGAGAGAAGAGAATATAGAGGAAGAGACGAGAAGTTTGAAGAAGGAGAGAGATGAACAAAAGAGGGAAGAGAAGATTGGGGAAGAGAAGATCGAGGAAGATACAAGAGGGTTGAAGAAGGAAAGAAATGAACAAAAGGGAGAAGAGAAAATAGAGGAAGATTCAAGCTTGTTGAGAAAGGATAGACAAGATGGAGAGAAGGCGGATAAGGAAGAGAAAAGGCTAAAGAAGGAAGATGAGAAAGCAGGCGAAGAAGCAACGAGGTTGAAGAAGGAAAAGGATGAGAAAGTAAAGGAATCAGAAGCGGATGACGCAAAGGAAGAGACATCAAGAAAGAAGAAAGGAAAGGAAGAAGAAAATAAGAGTGAAGAGAAATTGACTGAAGTGAAGCTCGACAAAGAAGAGAGACAGGCTTCACTTTCAAGAAAAGATAAAACAAGAAAAGAAAGTGATTCGAAAATAGAGAAGGAAAAGAGGGAAGAGAATGAGTCGGAGACTACCTTCAAGAAAGAAGATACAGAACTTGATAAGTCGAAGAGAAAAGTTGCCGAAATAAAAGATGATAAATTGGATGAAGAAAACGGAAGGAAAATTGAAAAATTGTTAAGTGGGAAGGGTGATGAGCAAATTGAAGATAAACTGAAGAATATTGATTTATCGGCAGAGAAGAGAATTATTGATGAGAAGATTGATGAGGAGGAAAGTAGGAAGGAAGAGGTTGAGAGAAAGGAGAAGAGGAAGGAGGATGAAGAGAAGAAGATGAGCAGAAAGGAAGAGGAGGGTAAAGGTGAAGAGAAGAGGGATGAGAAACGGAAGGAAGATGAGAAAGAAGAGAAGATAGAGAAAAGGAAGAATGATGAAGAAAGGAAGAGAGATGGAGGGAAGAAGGATGAGGAAGACAGGGAAGTGGAAGAGAAAGAAGACAGGAAGAGGAATGAGGAAACGAAAGAAGAGAAGATGGAAGAAAATATGAAGAGAAAGAAGTTGGAAGGGGAAGAAATTGGAGAGATGGAAAAGAAGCGAAGGGAAGAAAAGGAAGAGGATAAAAATGTGGAGAAGAAAAACCTTGAGGACAGTACTAGAACAAAATCCAGCTTGAAGAGAGAAAGTAAAGAGATGGTTGAGGATGTTTCCGAGGAAGTTAGAGAATTAAAAAAAGGCCTAAATAGTGAAGAAGAACCTCCCAAAAATAAAAGAAACAAAGCTCATCAAGCAAAGACTGTATTAATGAATGAAAAGATCCCTCTAGTTGGAAGGTCAATCAGCGCTTTAGTTCCCAACAAAGTAAACGAAGTAGAAGAACCAGCAAGTCCCCCAGTTCCGTCCACTATCAAATTAGAACATGGGTGCTTTATAACCTTCCAGGCAGAAGAGTTAGCCAGTCGCCCAAAGAATTTTACGGCCCCGTTTGAATTAGAGATTGAAGTGGAGTCGTTGGAGATTTGTGCCGTTAGATGCTATCAGGATGGATGTACTGGGGCACTATTTCATTCACACAATAAGAGTTGTGTTTTGGGGTATGAAGATAAACACTTTTGTGATTCGAAGCCGATAATCAGTCGTTTTCGGCATTTGGAACAATTAAAGAATATTAATCCGTTGTGGATACATTGTGTTAATTGCCGTAGGTTTTTAATTTTTATATCTTCCAGGGATCAGGAGGAATAGAGGGGGAATCCGGGGGAAGAGAGGAGGGGTCAGGAGGAAGAGGGGGGTAACTGCATTGAGCCAGAATTGTTCAGACGTGGCTGAGCCTTTTAAACACTGGAATTTTGTAAATTGGACCTTCTTAAATATGGGCATTTCGTCTTTAGGTCTTTTGTGCATTGGGCATTCTGTAATATGGACCTTTTGTAATTTCATTCTGTAATTTGGACATTTTGAGCCCATAACCATTACGGAAGAGATTCGAGTCCTGGAAACTTACTGTTTAATTCCTTCCTTATACAGGTCCAGAAGTCAATCGAGTAACAGGAGATTTAGACATTCTCTCACCTTTAAATAATACAACAACAAATCTTGGAGGAGGAGGACAACAAAAAATACCCAAACAAAAATCAAAAGATGTCGAAACTAAAAACACTACAGTATTGCCAAAAACATCCCCTACTACCCCTTCAACAATACTAACAAAAATAATAACAGCGACTATCCCTTCAATAATACAAAAAGCTTCCTCCTTAAGTACAAAATCGTTGGAAAATGGAACGGCTCCAGCAATACCCAACATTAATATTGAGACAACAAGCAATTCTAGTAGATTTTTGATAAATTAGATTCCTTGGATTAGTGAGGGCTCTCTCGTTTAATAGGAGACTCTCTCGAATTAATAAAAAGACTCCCTTGAAAGTGAGGAATAAGTAGGATAGTTGGAATAAGATAGGAATACCTTAAAGGATGAGTGGGATATGTAGAGACACATGAAGAGGCAATTGGGATCCCTTGGGATAAGTAGAAAAAATGAAGGGATAAATCAAAGACGAATGAAGGAATAAGTGGGATAAGTGAGAGGAGAGATATATGAAGATGTGAGTTGGGTAAGTCAGGGACGAATCAAGGAATATGTGAGATAAGTACGAGACATAATAGGTTTGACTGGGATGAGTAAGGAGAGTTCTAACTGGGATTTTCTCCTCATATCACCCAACCCAATTATACTCCCCCTCTTTACAGCAATAAAAACAATCACCTCAACACATCCTTCAATTTCTACCACTATCTCCACCACTACTATAACTAATACCTCAACAACACCAGCACCTTCTTCAACCCCTCTTCTCAACACCTCAAAAACAGATACACCACTAAAAACAGAAAAATTACACGTTAATAATTCTGGTAAAGGACCAGAAACCATAAAATTGGATAATGGTTAGTCTAAAGGGGAAATTACGAAAAAAAATATTTTTCAGCTTGTTTCATTACATTTCAAGCCGAACCTTTAGCTAATAGACCCTCCCATCACAAAGCACCTTTTGAATTAAAATTGGATGTAGAATCTATTGAAGTGTGTGCTATACGGTGTTATCAGGTAAGACATGAACTCTTACTTAGAATTTCTATTGGAGAGGGTATCAGGGCTTCTGTTAGATATGTAGCCGAGCTTCTATTAGAAAGGGCAACAAGGCTTCTATTAGAGAGTACCAAAACTTCTAATAGGAATGACCAGAGCTTCTATTAGAAAGGGCCCCAGAACTATTGGATAAGGCTCCTGAGTGTCTATTGAAGAGGGTCTATTGAAGAGGGACCCCCACAAAACTCATTTTCTCAGAAATTTTGTCAGACCTCGATATTAGAAACCCCCAATACAAGCTACACCTCTATTTAGTGTATGTTTTTTAAATTTTGTTTGCCACTGGGCGAGGGAAGCTTAAGCGCTACCCTCTATTTAATATACACTTTATTATAAGATACAATTTCTGTCCCAAAGGTTACGGTCCTACAGTAACCTACAGTATATTACAGTATCATTTAAACAAAAATTTAAAAGGACGGCTGTACGGGAGCCATCTTTAACAAAACCAGCAATACTTGCGAACTAAGCTACGACGACAAATACTTCTGTTCCTCCGCCCCTATAATTAGCCGTTTTGCCCATCTGGCAAATTTGCGTCATTTAAACGTTCTTTGGATTCATTGTGTTAATTGCCGTATGTTTTTGATATTTTTAATTAATTAATTATTTTTTAAAAAATTATTAAAGGACCAGAAGTTAATCGTAAAACTGGAATATTTGATGAAAATAAAAATAGCAGCAAAAAAATATAAAAATAAAATTTATTAAAAATTAAAATTTATGTCTTGTATAATTTTTAAATGTTGTTTTTACTTAATATATATTTTTTAGTTGTTTTTTAAAAAAATTTTTTTAATGAGAAAAATTATTTTTTCATTTTAATATACTGTATATGCTCAAAGAGATCGAAATTTTTGAAGATCCTGGACCTGTTCCTGGGCTCTGGGTTTGATCTATTGAATTGGGCCGGATCCTGGGCCTGTAGTCAGGAAATACCCAGGCCTAGGAAAAACCCAGGAAGGTCAAAAAATGCCCGGGCCTGGACTCTGGGTACAAGAAAAACCCAGGCCTTGGTGCAGACCAGAGGTCAATCGCAATTCTGATTTCCGAAAATTTAGGCGGGTTTACGAGTTCCGATTTTTCAGCCATTTCCGATTTCCAAAAGTTCTGATTTCAGGCACCTTCGTCAGTTCCGATCGACCTCTGGTCCAGGCCCAGCTCGATCTCTAATGCTCAAATGATTATTTTGGGTATTATTATTTCAACCTCTCAATAAAGGGGTAATTACTTGAGAGAGGACTATTATTTGAGAGGGTGTAATTATTCGAGCATAAGACGAAAATATTAATTTTTGTCATAGGGGTATTTTTAAAATAAATTTTCTTATTATGAGGATATGTCCATTTTAATTTTCAAGGTTTTCCACTCAACCAGGAAAATTTTATTTTTCCCAAATATCTACTAATTTTTATGTATTTTCGACCAAATTTTATAAAAATATTTTCGGCAAATTCACAACTGACGTCAAAAATATAATAATAAATTTAATAAATTGCCCTTGAAATTTAAATAAAAAAATCTAAAAATAAAAAAAATTGACCAAACATTTACTTAGTAAACTAGTTAATTTTTCTCTTTTGCGGGTTTTTTTCTTCCTTCTTAAATTAATTATAAAATTGAAAAAAATTGAAAAAAAAATTTTTATTAAATTTATTTATTTTATTAAAAAAGTTCCTTTATTTCCCCCTACTAAAGATTATTTTTATTTCTTCAAAAAAAATATTTTAATAGTCGAAAAACATTTTTAAATGGTTCAAGGCTAAATTAAACTAAAAAATTTTTTTTAATTTTTTTGAGACCGTAAAAAATTTTTTGTTCTAAAAAGAATTTTTATATACATTTTTTTAGTTTTTTCTATACCTATAAAAAACTGTCATTTACTGAGGGATAGACGTTAACCTTGCTAACTTTAAAAATTCATAACTTTACTTTCCAGCTACCCAAATTTTTGTTTTATATATCGTTTTGTAGCTGATTTTCTGCTCTATCTAATGATACCAAGATTAATTTTTTAAAATTATTTTTCGTTCCAAACTTGACGAAAAATTAGCGAACTTTCCTCTCATTCATTCTCCTTCCCCTTCCTCCCTTCCTCGAAAAAAAAATTTTTTTTAATTTCAAAAATAAACAAAAAAATTAGTTTAATGCACTTTCCCTCCCATTGTCTCATATTCCCCTAAAAATCCAAATAAAATCAAGGTACAAAAATTAAAATATTCTATTGCCTCTATTAATTACCCACCCCCTTAATTTTAAATTAATTTATTTATTTTGCATTCAAAAGAAAAATAAAATAAAAATACAAAAAAAATATTAATTAATTAACATATTTTCAGTCAAATACCCATCAATTTAATTAGACTAAAATTAAATTTTTTTTAATTTAAAAATTAATTTTTTTCCAAATTAACAGCAAAAAGACGTTGCGCGTTGATAAGTTAATAAAATTAAATTTATTTAGGAGAAAGAGCAAAAATCTCAAAAAAAGACAGAATTGGCCGAATTTCTCTCCTTTTTTTCGCGCTAAATTTTCCTGTTACCTTGCTCTCTTTAAAATATTCGTTATTAGGTAAATGGTCAAAAATTGGGCGGGGAATAGGTAATTATTCAAGTAATTATTAAAATATTTTTTGGTAATTTAAATTTTCCAAAATTCATTTGTGAAGAGAATTTTATTTTTAATTGCCGAAGGGTCCCTAGTTCTTCTTTAAAATTCTTTAAACTCTCCTTTCAAAGATCAAAAATTGGCGGAAACCCTAGGGGACGTCACTTCACGCGTTTTTCAAATACCTCAAAAATAACCGAATATTTAAACGCCAAATTGTGCACAAAAATTATTTTTTAAAAACACTTTTAGGTTAATTAAAGTTACCTATAATTACCTGTAATTTACCTATAAAACAGAACCGAACCTAATTAATGTAAACCCTTGGGGGAGACAAAATTCTTACCCTAAAATTAAGTTGTACATTAAAATTTTCAGTTTTTCTATATCTATATCTCCCCTCATATTCCACGTCATATCTATCTGATACCTTATGAAATTACCCACAACGTGAACATAATAGGTATTTCGTTTCGGCATATCCTCCAACCTGTGGCCAGCCTCATTTAAAAACTGTCAACTAAACTGACCCCCTACCAGCCAAACATTGGCCATTTAAAAACTGTTCACTAAACCCAGAGGTAGACATTAGTGGGGGTATACCATAAGGAGATTTGACTGCATTTTAAAACAGAAAAAAGAAGGTGGAACAACAATGTGTCCCTTCACAAAATTTTTTTTCTATTACAAAAATAGCAGTAATATTAATTTTTACAAAAATGTGCAAAGGTTAAGACGATCTATATTAAATTCTACTTAATTTTTCTAGCCAGCAAAATAGTCAATTTAATTAATTTACTTAATATTAATTTTTAGATTAAAAAATCTTTTTAATAAAATTAATTAAAAATGGGTGTAGACGGAATGGAGCAACAACCAGGAATGAGTCCCAATGATTCTAGAATACGTTTAGCTGTATATGATGTTCAAAAGCAATTTCGTATTTATCATATTGGGGTGCTTGTTAAGGGGCAAGAGTTTCATTATGGAATGAGAATTGGCGTTTTTGCTTGTGCACCTATGAATGAAAGGAAAACTTTTAATGTTCGCTATGTTAATAGATTGGTCCGGTGGAGGATTAAGTTTATGTGAGTTAGTTAAAGTAGGATCCATTAAATCGGGTGGAGTGGAGCTAGCCTAAGCAATACCTCCACCTCTAGGATACGGCTCGTTTTTAAATACGAATTCTCAGCCCTCAATGCCCTATATGTTTAATCTTTCATATAGCAGGGATGCCACGGGTTGAAAAAGTCAGATCGGGTTACAAGTCGAAAAAAGTACCACGTTTCGGTCTCGGGTCGGTTCAGTTAAGGAATTAAGAGGGAGGTCCGGTATCTGATTTCGGATAACCCGAGAAATCCTTGGTTTATGAGAACGAAAATCGTCCGTATTTAGACAAGAAAGTGATATTTTAGAGGGTTAAGAAGGGGGAAGACTCAATAAGAGGATGTAGACTCGCTAGATAAACTGAGTTCAAGCTCTATAAATTTCCAAAAAAAGAATACTTTTTAGGCGCTTCATAGACAGACTAAACTTAACAACACGCTTAACCTTGGAACAAATAATGCAAGTAAAAGAAGAATTGAGTAAAAAATATCGCAAAGATAACTATCATTTACTTAATAATAATTGCATTGACTTTGCAAAAGAATTTGTTAAAAGAATTGCAGCCCCGGTCCAAAGAAGTTCGCTGTTTTTCTGGCCTCAAGAGATGAGACAACCTTTAATTATATGCCCTATGCGTTTAATCTTTCATGATAAGGAGAAAGGAAGCAAGAAGGAAATTAGTGAAGACACGATGTTATTAATTAAAAATGAAAGGTGGGAGAGAATTTTCCGTTGTAATAGAGTAGGGTAGCTCTCTGAGCGTTTGGGGTCGGGGTTGCCGGGGTAGAGCCTTCGGAGTTCGGGTCGGGGTTTTACCAAAAAAAAACATCGGGGACGGGGAATTACCCTATAATAAGCCATCCATACCTGCTTTACCTTACAGTTGGAGGGAGAATGTTAAGGATTTTATATACTTGTTAGTAGTAGATAAGTCAAACCCTTGCAGCCTCGGGATTTAGAAGAAAGCTAGACCGAATGCCTCCCTATCGGAGATTACAGCCTGTTTAAGTGACATTCAGGGACTATACTAAGACTTACTTCACTAAGTACTGCCAGGCATCTAACCTGAATCTTACCCGTTAAGTGCAGGTTGGATGTGTAACCTCTAACCCTGGCAGTGATAAGTTATTAAAAAATTTTCAAAAAATTTTAGAAGCCCAAAAAGCGATGGGTTGCTAGAAAAGGAAAATCTACAACCTCAACAAAAACAACAAAGATTGTACATTACCACAATTAAAATAATGCCTTGGAAAGATGAGGAGCGCGATTTAAAACAAGAATTTTTTAGATTTTGATAATGAGAAAGTGTGTATTTATTTTGTGATATGTAGGATTTATTATTATAGATATTTAGATGATATGATTGATAAATTATAAATTTGATTTTACTTTCTATATCGATTGGAAGCATTCCTTCTACGATTTTAATTGATAGGAAAACATTTGTTGGACGAACATATTGCTCTACAACAATTGTTGGACGTCGATTTGTTCAGCCAACATCTTAATTTGTCCTCTTTGATGTTATTAAAGCTGGTGTAGTTTTGAAACAAATCTGTCAATTTGACACACCTTAAAAGATACGAAAAATAAAAAAAGCAATTTAAAAACTCGCCGTTCCTCCCAATCCAATAGAATCCACAAGAAGAAACTGGATCTCTTGTAATTCAGCAGGTAAATAGCTCAAATCAGCAAGTAATTGCTCAAAATAGCGTTTGAATAACTAAAAAAATAAGGGAAAAAAGAAATCTAACTAAATCTTTACCGGTTGGTCTTCTGAAAAGAATGAAATAACTGAACGAAAACAAAAAATAGGAAAACAAAAAATTGAACCAAAACGAAGAATTTAAAAACAGAGAAAAACCCGAAAATTGAAAAAAATACATTATGCCAATTTGGCGTTTAATAAAAAATACTGTTCGTGATTATTTAAATTTCTTCTTTTCTCTTTTTTTTGTTTTTAGAAAAAAACTTTTTTGTTTCATATAGAGCGAGATTTTCAAAAACTTTGATCCTTGGCCTTGATATCGGTTGGGTACCTTGACCAGATTTTTGATTTTGTGTCAAGGAAAAATCATGGAACTCTAAAAAATGCCTTGATCTTTTCTCTGGATCCAGGAAAGATCAAGGTCTGGATCCAGCTCGCTCTTTAGTTTTACACTATTATTTAGTCATTATTGTGCTTGTCAGGTTACTTTGTTAGTCTATAACTTATTAAATATTATTTTTAGATTAGCAGCCACAAGCTGATGTTGAAGAGGATGCTGAGCTGAGCCCGCATTGAAAGGCCTTTGCCTGTTTTGATCTCCTGTGATTGTGTGTGCCTTTTTACAATTAAACCTGCTGGTTTTCCTCATATTTTGCTGGTTTTCCAGGTTTTTCTTTATCCATGAAATCTTAAATTTCTGATCATTTTCATTCTTTCCCGGATTTTCTCTGATTTTCCCCTGATTTTTTGGTATTTTTATTTCTCGATCTCTTGGGTTGATCATTCCTCTCTCTAAATTTCCTTCCCTTCTCGTTCCCATTTAACAAAGCAAATCATTTCAGCGCATTCCACAACTGCCCACCACCCTCCCTCCTCTTCATCCCTCCCCTCCCTCCTCCCTTCATTCTTCCCCCCCCCTCCTCCTCTTCCCCCTTCCCCCCCTTCTCCCCTCCCCCCCCCCCCTTCATTTTCTGCCACTTGTTTCCGCCTCTAAAATTCCATTCTCTTCTATCGCTCAAAAATATTTTTAGAAAAATTTTTTTCTTTTTGCATTCCTTTTGTCTCCCCCTCTTTTCTATAGCAATTGATTGCTTCCAATCAGGGAAGTAAAAATTAATTATTTATATTAAACTTCATTTTTTAATTATTAAACATTCCTTTTGGTTTGAAAAATTTTTTTGGTCATTTTAATGAGAAGATTAATTGAAATAGCTAGGAATTTTGACAGGTATAAGTTCGAGAATTTTAATTTTTCTAATAAATCAAAAAAAATTTTTTGCAAAAATTTTGGCTTATCAATGTTAGGGGTATTTTTAATTTTTGAATGACTTTTAGTTAAGGCTTCTTCTCATATGTTTTGTCACATATGAATAAGTGTCCGAAAAAACAAAACAAAAGTCCGCAAAAATAGAAATGCCTTAATACCAAACCGTCGAAGTACCAACCCTCCCAAAACGCCGAAATGCCAAACTGTGGATGAAGTTTTATACCAGCTGATGACTTAAGCTAGATGACATTTTATCAAATCTTCCAAAAACTCGAAATATCAAACAGTGGATGAAATCATAAGCTAGATGATCCATTTTTGGCTAGAAAAATTTTATACGATTCATTATACATCTAAAATTTAGGTCATCCTTTGGCCAGAAAAATTTTGATTTTGTAAAAAAAATTTTTGCGGACATGTTTTGTTTTTGTGGACACTCATTTATCTTCCAAAATTCTTGAATCTATAGGTCTTGGAATATTTTTCCCCTCAAATTTTTTTACCTTCAAATCTTGTTAGTTTATCCATTTAATCTTTTTTTTAATTTCTCCATTATTTTTATTAATATTCATATCTTTTATTAAAATTCCATTCATTTCCTCCCTTTTTTCCTATAAATTCTCCCCGCACTTTTACTTTATATAACCAAAAACATGACGCTAATTCCTAGAGATTATTGCGAAAATAATAAACACATTCCTGCATTTTTTCCGCATTCTTTAAATTATTCTTCCCTTTTTTTAATTGAATTAAAAGAATTTTTGGGGGAATTTTAAGGAATTTTAGTTATTTTTTGAATTTTTTGAAAAATTTAAAATGACCAGGATTTCCCGTTTTTTCCCCAATTTTTTCATTAGACGTTTGACTCTTATTTTCTGTCCTATTTTCGAGAATTTACCCGTAGTTTCTATCTTATTTTATGTTTTTTTGGTTGATTTTTTTCAATAGGCCATCCAAAATCTTCATTTTATTAATTTGCGGACTAATGGTTTTTGCGGACTGGGATTTGCGGATTTTAAGCCTATTGAAGTCTTGTTCAATCCAGAATGATAGTCAAAGCATTTGACACTATTTTGGAGGCACATTACACATTTCTTGAATAGATCCATCCAATATTTTTTAACTTTTCGGAATATCATTTTATTGCGGACTTAAAGTTTATTGAAACTGGAGCTGCTAGGTCAACCCAGTAGGATAGTCAAAGCATAGCACTATTTTGGTGGGCATATTTTACTTTTAAAAATCCGTAGGTCTTCGTCCGCAAGTTTATAAAAAGTCCGCAAATTTCAGCCCGCAAGTTTTAATCCGCAATTTTCCTCCCTTTTTAAAAATGTGTCGATTTTCTGGGTTAATTTTACTTAATATTTATATGTTTTTCACATTCTTTTCATTAATTTCTCTATTTTTTTTCTTCCCCCCTCCATTTACTTTTCTTTATAATCAATCTTTTTTGCAAAGTTAATAATATATTCAATTACCTTTTCTCTAAATTAATTATTTTTCATTCACATTTTTTATAAAAAGCGCATGATTAAGACTTGAAAAAGGTTGAAAAATTTTGGAAAATTTTTGAAAATTTTTTAGAAAATTTCTTGAAAAATTTCCAAAAAAATTTTTTAGACTTTAGAAAAAATTTTTTTTATTTTTTGAAAATTTTTGGAAATTTTTTGAAAAATTTTTTTGAAAATTTTTCGAATAAAAAATTTTCGAAAATTTTGAAATTTTTTAGACCTAAAAAAATTTTTTTTCAGAATTTTCAAAACCCTAAAAAATGGCCACAACCAATTCCATAACCTCCTCAACATCAACCACAACATTGTCTCCTTTTGATATTACCACCAACTCTACAACAACTTATTTACCTTTAAATAATCAATTAATTCCGCCTGCTTCTTCAAATTTAATATTACCTTCAGAAAGGTTTTACAATCCAAGTTTATTTAATTTGAGTCAACAACAACAAGTTTATAATGCTTCAGAAGCGTTGCCTGGATTATTGGGTGAATAAAAAAAATTTTTTTAACCTTAAAAAAATTCCAAAAATTTTTTAAAAATTTTTCAAAAAATTTCAAAAAAAAATTTTTTTAATTTTTAGCTTCAATTTTACAAAATCGTGACCAACACCACTCTGCTTCAACCTCTTCTCTTCCCCTATTTTGTGAATTAACTTCTAATTCTCTACTCTCTCAACAGCAGCAATTACTTGCGTTAATTAGGCAGCAAAATCAATCTTCTCCAATTTCACAATTTTATTCAACAACAGACTTGACACAACAAAATTATTTTAATGGAATACAGGCAAATGTTTTTATTTATTTTGGGGGGAATTTATTAATAAAACTTGAAGCTTTTACAAATTGTAAAATAATTACAAATTGTAAATTTTTTAAAATTTGTTTTTATGTCTACCAACTTGAAAAATAAACTTGTTTTACAATTTGTAAAAGTTTTGGGTTTATTAATAAAATAATATTCCAAGTTTATTTTCAAGTTGGATAATATAAATTGTAAAAAGTTTACAAATTGTAAAAGGTTGGAATATATTTTCGTATTCCAACTTGAAACTTTTACAAATTGTAAAATAATCGCAAATTGTAAAACAAGTTTTTTCAAGTTTATTTTTAAGTATTCCAACTTGAAAATAACCTTAAAAAATAAACTTGTTTTACAATTTGTAAAAGTTTCAAGTTTTTTTTAATAAAAAAGTTTATTTTCAAGTTGAGAATACAATTAATATTTGTAGAAACCTGAAACATTTACAAATTGTAAAATTTGTTTTTATGTTTAAAGTTTTATGTCTTTCTCTTATTTATTTTTCTTTTTACAGGCATTTGAAAGCCTTACTCTCGCAAATTATCAAAAACTTGCTGCAAACAGAAATGTGGGAATAAAATCTGAGGTGACTTCGCCAGCATCACAAATTAACGGAATTGAAGCATTAAATATTCCTCCAACTATTAATAATTTAAATAATAATTTTTCAACAAATAAACAACAAAATTTGGCCTCTTTGGAACAACAATTGGTTTATTATTTTAATTTTTTTTTATTTTCAAATCGAAAAAATTTCAAAAAAATTTTTTAATCAAAAAATTTCAAGAAAATTTTTTTTGAATTGTCAAGAAAAATTTTTTGGAACTAAAAAAAAATTTTTTTTGGAATTTAAAAAAATTTTTTGGAATTAAAAAAAATTTTTTAATTAATTTTTTCCAGCTTGTTCTCCTTAATCTCCAACAACAACAACCCCAACATTCCCAAACTGATTGTACTTCAAATCCTAATAATTTAAATGTTGCAACAGTAATTAATGATGTTTTTGGAACAAGAGAAAATTTGATAAAAAATTCTGCAAATTTACAGCAACAAAGTACTCAACAAAATTCTTTGGAGTCTTTCCATTTTAAGGATGATAAGGTTTGGAGTTTTTTTTTAATTTTTTGTCTGGGAATTTTTTTATTTTTGAGCTTCCCTTTTCCCCCTTTTTTTTATATTTTTGATAATTTTTATAGAAAAATGGGAAGTGACACAGAATAGCAACTCTCAAAAATGACAGTTCTGGGAATACTTCTTTGTTAGGGTAAAAAAGGTTCTCATAGTCACTGTCGTTCGAGGGGGATTTCTGAGGGATTTTTTTCGAAAGATTTTTTCGGAGGATTGGTTGGAGGGCGAATTTTTGTTTTTTGTCTACAGAGGCCCTAACCTATTAGTTTGGTCTTCCTTCTCCCTTAAGAATTTTTTATTTTAATAAAAATTTTCGTTGTTTTTCCACAGATCCAGGAACGCAAAAATTGCTCAATTCGACGAAGCTCTTCTTCCGTCTCCTATTACAAAACTTGTAGTAATTCTAATGCAGATGTTAGTGAACACTTTAAAAGAACATTTTCTGGGAAATGGCCAAAGAGGACATCAACATCTTTGCGTTTTGGAAGGAGTGGAGGGAGTAGTGGGGCCACAATAATTTCGAAAAATTCGAATAAAGAGGGTATTAAAGAAGGATTTGAAGAAAATAGTCAAGATAAGGATTTATTAATGGAAGTAAAAACAGAAGAAAAGGAGGAAATGGAGAAGATATTGACAATAAAAAGGGAAGAAAAGAGTCCTTTGAGTACTTTTAAAAATGAAGAGATTTTACAAGGAAAAGTATCTAGTGGGATAAATTGTCATCTTGGTCAAAGAGTTGGATATACAGTTATTAGAAGGCTTAATTTGGCTAGTGAAGATAAACAAGGTTTTTTGGGGGTTTAAAAAAAATTTTTTTGAAAATTTTTTAAAAAAATTTTTTAAAAATTTTTACAAAAATTTTCAAAAAAAATTTTTTTGAAAAAAATAAAAAATTTTTCCCTTATTTTTTCAGTGGAGGAACACTTTCGCAAATCCTTGGGAGATGATAGATTTAAACAAATAAGAAATAATCAGAGGTACAACCAAGAGGATGACACTAATGCTATGGATGATGACATTGATGTTTAGGAAGATTTTTAGTATATTTTTATTAGAATTTTTTAATTAGGGAATTTCGATGCATTTATTTTTAGTCTTTTAAAAGCTTGGTTAATAATAGAGACTGGTAAGAAGAATTTTTAAAAATTTTGGAACTTGCGGATTTTTCTTGCGGACAAGCTCTATAATGAGTCTTTTGGTCAATAATCTTTCCAAGATTTTTCGTCTATTTTTTAGTTTCATTTTAAAAGTGAATGTGGGGAAAAAATCCGCAAAGTCCACAAGATCCAAAATTCTCTTTTCTGTCTCTATGTTTTAGAGAGCGAGATTTTCAAAAAAAAACCTTGCCCTTGTTCCTTGACCTTGATTTTAGGTGAGGACCTTGACCAGATTCTTGACCTTGAGTTAAGGAAAAATCAAGGAACTCTGAAAAATGCTTTGATCTGGCCTCTGGATCCAGTAAAAGCAAGGTCTGGATCCAGCTCGCTCTCTACTATATTTTTTAATAAAATAAATTATTTTTATCTACCTAAAATGTGATTAATATATTTTTTTGTTTTTTAGCAATTATTTAAAATTCAATTTTTATTTGTAAAAATATTTTATTCAATTTATTTATTGCCATAAAATCAAATTGTGATAGAAATAAAATAAAATCTGCCAAATTAGAATTTTTAAGCAGAAAATTTTCAAAGTTTTTAAGTTTGAAAATTTTAGAATTTTTTTAGTTTTTGGCATTTTGATTTTTTTTATTTTTCAAAATGGTAATTTTCATAATGTAAAAAAATTTTTTACTTTTTTTTATTGAGAATTTTTTTAAAATATTTTTATTAAAGGTCTACAAAATCGCACTTTCGGGATCCCGAGTTGGGATTTTTTAACTATGCCGGGAGGGGATCGCGAGGGATAAATGCAGGATCCCGAAAATCAAAAAATCCAGGACTTCGGGATCCCGAAAAATCCTGTACGGGATCACGCGCATATCTCTAATTTTTATATTCTTTTTACAGACTTTTTAAAGACTAAAAAAATTTTATTTAACAACAAAAATCTGAATGGCAACACCTCGACATATTTATGTTATTCGACATTGTGAAAGAGAAGATGATGTTAATCGAGTTTGGTATTTCAACAGTCATTTTACGAGAGACAATCCTCCACTTTCTGAAAGAGGTTTGGTACAAGCAAATGATTTGAATCGAGAGTTTGTTTTTTTGTGTTTTTTAAAGGAGCTAATGGTTACTGACTTTGGGTTTGGGGTTTTTTGGCTGAGAACTCTCTTCCTTTTTCCTTTCTCAACTTGTGGTCAGACTTGCATCTTTTATCTAATTCCTTGACCGATTAAGTTCTATAGAGAGGCAATTTGAGGTGATCTTACTATGTGAGTTGGACTGACTATTACCGAGTTTAAGGAGTGAACCGGGAATGACGACTGGACTGGGAATGATCAATTTCGTTAATGATTGGATCCAAATAACGGGACCATCAAAAGCTGGAATTTCCCTATCTATACAAGCTTGAATCTAGGTCCAAAACCATCTTTTTGTTTTCTACTTTAGGAGAACTCTACCCTATCTTTACCCTAATCAATAATATTCTATTTTAAGATTTAAGAACATACACATCGATTATTGCTTTTCTTCTCCATACGAGCGATGTATACAAACCTCAGCTAAAATATTAGAAGGCCGCTCAAATTGCTTAATAAATGTTGAACCTGGTTTTTTGGAGGTTTTTTTTAAAGTTTTAAAAGTTTATTAATTTTGTTTTAAGGCCGGTTTTTTAGTTAGGGAGTCTGGAGAGAAGCGGCCGACGTATGAAAAAGATAAAGAATTGGCTGCAAGATATCCGAATATCAATTTACGCTATAAGCCGTTATATCTTTCACCAGCAGAGGAAGAGGTTTGGTTTTTTCAAGTTTTTGATTAGGTTGAGATTTTGGGTATTTTTTGGAAGGACCAGAGTTTTTAATTAGAGTTCGGTATTTTTGAAAAGCCTGGGCCTGTTCTGGGTTTGATGTAGTCCTGGAAAACCCCAGGAGGGTCAAAAAATGCTAGGACTCCAGTTATAGGAAAAACCAAGGCCTTAGTTCAGACCCAGGACGATCTCTAGTTTTTATTAAAATACATAATGCTCGTCGTGTGTCTTTTGTCAAACTTGTCTCACGGCTTTACTGCGCATAGTTACATTTCCAAAACGGATGATTTGGTCTTCCATTTTAGCCGACATAACTTGCGGATTCTCTTTTTTCGGCCCAAATCCCATACATTTTCTTTTAACTTTTCCCACTAGATCGAGATGGGTCTGCACCAAGGCATGGGTTTTTCCTGTACCCGGATCCAAGCACAGGCATTTTTTGATCTTTCTGAGTTTTCCTGTGCCACAGGCCCATGATCCGGCTCAGGCCAATAAATCAAACCCAAGAGTCCAGGAACATTCCGGCCCATGACTTCTCAAAAAATTCGATCTCTATTTTCAACGTAAGGAAGAAATATGGCCTTTTGCCTTCCAAAATTTTCAAAAAAATTCAAAGATTCATCCCATCCTTTCAATTATTTCTTTCTAAAAATTTTCAAAAAAAATCTTTTTTTAGTTTGATTCAAGCGCAACAGTACGTGCATGTTTTAATCGAGTCAAGCATACTTTAAAACAATTGTTGAAAATATGTGAAGGTTTATTTTTTTAATTTTAAAGTTTAAAAATTATTTAAATTAATTTTTAGGTGATATTCTAATTGTAACACATCAAGGACCGTGTGCTGCTATCCAAGAATATTTTATGGATTTGTTGAGGAGATCAGATGAATTGCTTTATCCTGCACAGGCAACTGTTAGCAAAGTGGGTTTATTAATTTTTTTGAATATTTTATGGCTGTGCGCCATAAGAAAAAAAATTTTTTGGCGATTGGAAAATTTTTTTTAATTTATATAGGGTGAAGGTTCATTAAATTTTGAAGAGAATTCACTCCTATTTTGGCTCGTTAGGGACGATTGGTAGTGTTGTAGGAAACGTTTGGTGGTTAAATACTATAGGTCCCAGGTTCGAATCCATTTCAGTCAAAACTTTTAAAATATCAAAATTTTTGCCTAAAAAATATTTTTGACCATTTGAAAATTTTTTTTTGACAATTTGAAAAAAATTTTCTTGGATTTTGTTATGTTAGTGGTAATTTAGTTTAGTGGGATAGGTTTGCGATTTGCCCATGGGTAGATACTCGGTTCGAATCCTTTTCTGGTTAAACTTTTTTAAAATACGTTTTTTTGTTTAAAAAATTATTTTGACCACTTGGGATATTTTTTGCACCTTAAAAAATTTTTTTTCGGCAATTTTAAATTTAAAAAAATAAAAAAATTAGTACGTCGAAGTGCCGGGTGTTTATTCTTCCAATGAACCTCCACGATTTTCTGATGAATATTTGTGTGATTGCAGTCATTTAACAGATAGAAGTGGGCTGAAAGGAAAATATTTTTTTAAAAAACGATAAAAAATATTATTGACTCTTTTTTGTTTAAATTTTTTTGTAAAAAAATTTTCTTATCGCGCACAGCTATGGGTTTTTTGGTTTATTTTTAATGGGGAAATTTTTAAAAATTTATATTTGTAATTATTATATTTTTTCTGTCTCGTGCATCATTTTTCTATTTTTTTCAAATTTTCTTTTTTGGCAATATTTAATTTTTCAAAATTTCTTTATTCTTTATTTAATTTATTTTTTTTGATTTTGTAAATTTTTTTCTGCTTAAGGGGGGACTGTTATAACTGGGAAAGGGTCGGTTGGGATTTATGTTAATTTAGAAGAGGTGAGTCTGTTAAGAAATTTATTTAATTGTTACCTTGCTGACAATTTCGTGCTTGTTTTTAGGATTTACAAGATTAGGATTTCTGTAATTTTTTTCTTTAATATTTTGTAATTTTTTTGTTTAAATTTTTTTGGAATAATCTCTCAAAATATCTTCTTAAAATCCATTCATTTCTCTTCTTTTTTTTTCTAACAAATTTTTCTTTTTTTTTTATTTTGTTACCTTTTTTCTTACAAATTCTCTCTTTACTTTTTTCTTCCTCCTTTTTCACAAAATATATTAGTAGCAGCAGCTAAAAAGTCCATTAAATATAATTCGTCGTATCTCTTGGGTGGTCGTTTTTGTGTACTAGCAGCAGCTCTTCTCAAATTTTCTTGCGAAAAAAAATTATATTTGTTATACCCACCTTTCTTTTTTTTGTTGCTTTTGAAGAGAGGATTTGTATAAAAAAGAAAAGAGAGAAGAAGCAAAATTGGGGACAAAAGAGAGGGGATGGATATCCTCGTCTTGTCCACACACTTACACATACATTTTGGGGGGGGAAGTATTTTTAAGTATATCCTGTGTGTCCAAAAATTTTTTTATTATTTATTTGCACCTCTTTTTCTTGACATTATTTAGGTGTATTTTATATAAAAACATTAATTCACACTTTTATTTTTTTTTTCGAGTTGCGGGGAAATAAAATATTCCCTTGAAAGCACAGTTGTTGTGGGGTGTTATTTTTTAAAATAAAATTTTTTGTTATTTTTTGCTAGACTTTGGGGAGAAAAATAAGTTTGTTTTTTAATTTAATTTGTTTTCATTTTATTTTTAAATATATTTTACTTCCTTTTTTGACATTTTTTTTTGTTTATATTTTGTTTTGTGAAGCGAGACTTTTCTTGAAGTTGCTAAGTTTTATTTCAAGTTTTATTTTATTTTTCTTAAGCTTATGTTAGTTTAATTTGTTAAGTTAGCGGTGTGGTGTAGTGGTGAGTGTGTTTGGCTCTGTTAGGTTAAAGAGGAGAGTTAGGGTAAAGTTCGATACCTGTGGGTGTTTATTCAATTTTATTTTGTTTCTTTATGTGTTTTAAATTACCTTTTTTTATTTATGCTTTTAAACCAAATTTTTTTCAATTTTTCTCAATCTTGAATTTTTATTTAAAATTTTTATTTAACATTTTTTTATATTTGACCAACTCATAATTATTTATTTTTTCACTAAATTCTTTGACCGATATTGATCTTTTGGGGGATTTTTAATCTTTTGAGTTGAGCCATCTCTTTACCTACCTACCTTTTTGTTATACTTGTGGCCTTCAAAATTGTGTAAATTATATATCTAAATAGTATTTTTGTGCATTTATCCCCCTCCTATTAAACGATATGGAAAGGGTGGATGAAGGGGAAGGGGTTGTCTAGTGTAGGTGATTGATGGAACGACGAAGGTCTAGATAGATTTTTTAGTTTATGAATTGGCCCGTTTCAAACTCAAAAATTTCTTTCTGGTTTCGTTAGGCAGGTAGGTTAGATGGAGGCAAGATTGATGAATGATTTTTGGGGAGATTTTTTGGGTCAAAACTTAGGTGGACAGAAGTGAGATAGAAGAGATCTTTTGTAGATAAGCTCTATATACTAAAATAGTTGGAAGGAAAAAAATTTTATTTTTTAACGGTCTATGTCTGTGCATTAAATATTCAAAAAATTTATTTTTTTATTTTTTTTTAAATTTGTTGAAAAAATTATTTTTAAATAATATTTTTCAAAATTATTTTTCATGATTTTATTTGTACACTTTCATATTTTTTTACAATGCCTATCTTAAATAAATTTTTATTTTGTGACTTGTAATGTTTTAAGTGATTTAAATATTTTTACATGTTAATTCTAGATAGTAAAAACATGTACCAACTAGGTATTAGGTTTGTGCTACTTTATAGAAAAATATTTTTTGTTTTTGATTAAATGTAAATTCTAGTATTGTGAAATAATTTTGTGAATTTATTTTTGAGTTTTTTAATGAAAATTGTTATTTTTTTTAAACTTCGGTAAAGGAAGCTTTTTTGAAAAATTTTTCTCATTTTTTCAATTTTTTTAAGTTTTAATTTTTAAAATTTCATATTTTTAATCAGACTTGTTCATGGATACGGGGATGGATACAGATAATTTCAAAAGACCTGGGGATATACGCCTTATCCCATATTCGGATACCAAAATAATCTATATATATCTATGATCAAGTCTGTTTTTTTCATTTTAAGCTTTCGATTATTTTTCAAGCCAATATTTTTAGGCCAATATTTTTCTTCGATTAGTTTAAGTATTTTTCATTTAATATGTATTTGTCGGTATTTTTAAAAGACTAAAAAAATAAAATAATATTGAGCAGGTTTAGACAAATATTTATTTTTGGAGGTTGATGATTCGGTAAAGTAAAAAAGATGTAAGGGGAACTGGAAAGGGTGAAAGTGTCCTGTCAATTTAAGAAGGGTTTTTGTGTTTTGTTTTTGAGTGGATGATGAAAGGATATATTTAGATTTTTAAAGTGGAAAGTCAGAAAGTATATTAAAAATATATTTTTGGGGCCTTTAAAAAGAGAGTGGACATTCAAAAAAATTTTATGTTTGAATGGACCTCCAAACATTAATTTAAAAATTTTTGTTAGTAAGGAGAGGGTCGAGAGAACCCCTTGAAAAAAATTTTTATTAATAAAATACTTCATTCACCTCCCTTTTTCCTCTATAATTATGAGATGATTAATCTAAAAATGTGTGTAGTGTATCTATATTTTTGGTGTGTATTTTTGGTGTGTATATTTTTTAAGCTTTTCATTTGCATATTTAATTATTTTTAGAGGTGTTTGCAAAAAAATTATTTCCCCAAATTTTATAAATTATTTTTAATATTAAAAAATTTTTTTATAAATATTTTTTTTTAATATTTTTTACAATTATCATTGTCATAGAACTTTTTTAATAATTCCAATTAAAGATCGGTCTGGATCTGGATCCAGTCTGGATTTTCCTTTATCCAGAATGAGGATCCAGGCATTTTTTGATCATCTTGGATTTTTCTGGATTCAGAATCAGAATCCTGTTCAGCTTACTAACCTAAATCCAGATCCTGGATTTTTGAAAATACCGATCTCTAATTCTTACTAACACTATTTTTGCCAAAAAACCAAAAATTTTTTAGATGCCCCTATAATTGTCATTTATCTAAAACTTTTTTTTATTAAATCAACACTATTTTTAAATAAAAAATATTTTTGTGTTTCAATACAATTTATTTACATATTTTAGTATTTTTAAATTTAATCAAATCCCCTCTCTAAATATTACAATTTTATTATTTTTAATAATTTTTAGGGAATGTGTACTTTAAAATAATATTATTATTTATATTCATTGACACATTTCTCTATATCTCTCTTACACTTTTTACTGGTTTTTGTATAAATAACTAGATAAATTTATTTATTTATGTTCCAAATATAAATAAATTATTAAACTATAATATTTTAAAAATGAATAATTAACTGACCTAAAGAGAAGGAGGGGGAAGAGAGAGGGGTAAGGGAGAAGTGTGGCTGTGTGTGTTATAATTTTTAATTTTGATTTATCCGGATATCAAAACAAAGCTTTTCTCTCTTAAAACTGTCAGGATGATCAATCTTTTTATTTTCTAAAACTATAAAATTTTTATATAAATTTTTGTCTTATTTTTATATTTTTCTTCAAGTCAATCAACACAGACACCCCCCCCTTTCTCGCTTGTCCGCATTCTTTTACTTTTTTGATTCGCGGGGATATTATGTGTGGGTGGTCAGTTGTTGTTGTGTGCAGGATTACATTTAATTTATAAATTTTTTGAAGAAATTTTTGTGGGGATTTTTAGTTTATTTTTTTAATTTTTTTATTGGTCAGTTGCTGTAGTGAATAATTTATTACTAGTATTTGGGGGAAAAATTATTTTTTCTAACGAATTTTTAAAATTTTTCTTTTTTTTTGTTGATGCCTAAACGATATCAGAACTAAAATTTTCAGAATTAATCAGAAAAAAATTTTTTTCTTTTTTAATTGGCAGTTAATTTTTTTAAGTTTGAAGTTGTATGTATTCTAAACCGACTAATTTATTTTTTAATTTTTTTAAATTTTTTTTTGCCTAGATCAACTTTTATTTTTTTTTAAGTTTTTGTGATCATTTTTCTTAGCCCATCAAATTTTTGTTTAGCAAAAAAAAATATAAAAATAATTTTTTATTTTTTTTACACATCCAGACAGATTGACCACCCCTAAAAATGTCTGTGTACTTTATTATTTTTTTAGTTTAAAAAGCTGTTATTTTTAGAAGTTATTTTTAAATAAAAATATAGCCAACTGTTAGCCTTTTTTTATAAATTATTTTTTCTTTTCATTTTCCCGAGCAACTGCCCTTTTTTCAAAAATAAATGAAGCTTATTTTTAGTATTATTTACTGGCTAAAATTTGTAGTATAAATGTCCACACATATGTACATATTTTATTTTTAATTTTAAATAAAAATCAGAATTTTAAGCTAAAAATTGATATAAAAAATTCCGGTTGATTTTAAAATTCTGGAAAATTATAAAAATCAGAATTTTAACTGACCAGAATGGACCAGAATTTTCATTTTTTCTTTTTACAATCAGATTTTGTTTTAATGACCAGAATTTTAATTTTTTCTAATCAGAATTTTTTTCTAGTATTAATCAGAATATTTTTTAAATTATTTTTACAATTACCAGAATTTTAATTTCTGTTTTTTTTAATTTCAGAATTTTTAAAAGTAATGTATAATTTAATTAAAATTCTGATTTAATTAAAAATAGAAGGGTACTTAAAAATTATTTTTCTTTTTTAAAATCTGACTCATATTTTTTTCTCCAAAAAATTTTTCTTTTTTATTTCTTGTTGGCAACAAACAAAAATAAAAACACGCGTATTATGTATTATGTACATTATTCTCTCCCATCTCTCCAAAATTTTTATTTATTTTTCTATTTTCTCTCTTAAAAAAAAGATGTGTTCGGTGTCAGTCTGTGCCATCCTTCCACCATTCGAACGAATTTAGAAAAAAAAATAACCAGCCGATATTTTCACTTTGCTGCTTTTTTCGGCCAACCGCGACACGACCACACCCCCTTCTTTTCCCTCCTAATTTTTTTTCGTTTCAATTTTGTGTGTTCCTTTCTTTATGTCTCTCCTTTCCTATTTATCCGTTCTCATTAGCAAAATATAAATTTTTTTTATTTATTTTTTATGCGCATATTTTTATGTAGCCAAAATTTGGCGCCCATCCTTTATTTTATTTTATATATTCTCGTCTGACAATTTTTATTTTTATTTACATTAATTTGGGTAATACGGAGAATGTAAGTATGTAAAATATTTGAGAGTAACGTTGCCTTTTTTCTGAAAAAATATAAAAAAATTAATTTTGTTATTCCAATTAATTATTTTTAAGAGTGAGGAGAGATAGTTTTTCACTTTTTAGAATTCTCTAAATTCCTTTAGGTAATTAAAATTTTGTTGAAAAAATTTTTATAGGCGTCAATAACCTTGAAAAACAGCCTAAACCTTTTGAAAATAAAAATAAATTAAGTTTGCAAACTTAAAAAAATTTAAAGCTTGCAACTTTGAAAAAGAAAAATAAACTTAAAACTTGAATATTTGCAAGCTTGAAAACTTGAAACTTGAAAACAAGCTTTAGAAAAACTTAAAACTTGAAATAAATAAAGTTGAAAACTTAAGTTTGTAAATTGTATTTATTTCAAGTTTTAAGATTTTCTAGTTTATTTTCAAGTTTATTTTCAAATTTTTCTATCTTAAAGTTGTAAAAGCTTGTTTATTCAAATTTTAACTTTTCAAATTTCAAGTTTGTAAGCTTGTAAATATTCAAGTTTTATTTTTCTTTTTTTTCTTTTAAGTTTTGCAAGCTTTAAATCTTTTAAGTTAATATACATATAAAACAAAGCTAGCAACAACAACACATAATAAGGCCATAAATCAAAAAAATTTTTTATTAGCGTTCTTTAGTCGTTCATTGTTTTGTGTGTGTATTTTAAATATTTTCTGGCCACCTCTCTTTATTTTATTCATTTTTTTATTTTTTATGTATATGTATTTTTCTGTTCAATTTATTGCAAAAAATTTTTTTATTTGGCTTTTTACTATATGTGTATTTTAATTTTGTATAATTTTGCATAATATTCTGATATTTTTTTTAATATTTTTTGGCTAGATTAAATATTTTTTTTTTAAATATTTTTTTAATTTTTTCACTTGGTCTAGTATTTTATTTATTGGTATTTTTTGTACCTACTGGATGCATACTTGCTAAAAATTTTGAAAAATAGTTTTTTATTTCTCCATCATCTGCTTGCTTTTTATTTTCTTATTATTTTTATTTTTATAAAAAAATATTGCGAGAATAAAAAAATACTTGCAAAATTCAGCGAGAGAGAAAACAGCTATCTAATGTAAGCTAATGCTATACTTAATATACTTTACTTACAAAGTGCTTTGTTGAGAAGGGGAGGGATTTTTTTTTTTTGTTTTTTATTTTTGCTTTCTATAATAAATCTCGCCAACAACAAATAGACACACACTAACTCCCCCTCAACATTTAAAGACATTTTTTCTTAGTTTAAAAAATTTTTTTCTTGCATTTCTTCACTTCCGGCTTTAAAAACACACACATTCTCTTTTTCCTTTTTATTTACTTTAAAAAAATAAAAAATAAAATTTTCTATTTTTATTTTTATTTATGTACTTTTTTGGCACAATCTCAAAAAAGTAGATGAATGTATGTGTGTGCTGCCATTTTCACCCATAAAAATGCCAAAATAAAATTTGTTTTTTGATTACATTTTTCAATTTTTTTAATGTTTTTTATATTTTCTATCGTTCAAAATGAACAAAAATTTTTTTATATTTTTTTGAATATTTTTTCGAATTTTTATTTGAATTTTTAAAAATGCCAGGGAATTAAAATAATAAAATTTTGTAATTAAAAAATTTTTTTAAATGTCAAGTAATTCATTATTTTTTTTTGAAATTTATTTCTTTAATTATTTGTTTTAATTATTTTTTTTAATTAATCCTCCTCTCGGCTTGCTCATAATTTTTTTTTCAATTAAATAATTTTTTTTTAATTTTTTTGTTTTTACTCATTATTTTCTCTTTTTTTTTTCAACTTCCTTTTTAAAATGCCTTTCTTTTTAGAGTTTATTTGTCTATATATTTTTATTTATTTATTTAAAAATAAAAAGCTTTGGCATGTTGCCCTGGCAGCAGCAATTATGGAAGTAGGGGAAAGGGGGCTCAAAGCCGCAGCGCCTTAGGCTGCCACCCAGGCATCTTAGAAAATATATATATAAATAAAAATATATTTTTATATTTTGTTTGTCACACTACATAAATATATATTTTTTTAAGTAAACAAGAGTGAATGAGGCATTTTCTTTTTATTTTTTTCCTTTTTTGTCTGTTGAATATTTTTTTACTCTGATTTTTTAAATTAATTGTGACTAAACATCTTATTTTTAAAAATTCTGATTTTATAAGTTCTGATTTTATGAAATTATATCTTTAATAATTCTGGTTCTAAATTCTGATTCTTGAAAATTCTGATTATAAAATTATATTTTACAAAATTCTGATTATAAAATTCTGATTTTATAGAAATTCTGATTTACTTAAATTTTGATCTTATAGAAATTCTGATTTCATAAATTCTGATTTTATAAAATTATGATTTTTAAAATTTCTGATTCTACAAAATTCTGATCTTTTTTAAATTCTGATTTTTGGAAATTCTTATTATAAAATCATGGTCTTTTTCAGTTCTGATTTTTTAGATTCTGATTTTATAATACTTAATCATTCTGATTTTTATTTCGAAAAATTTAAGCTACAAATTATTTTCAAAAAACACTTAAAAATCGGTCTTGCTTTGTCATACTATTTTTTTATATTTTTGGCCAAAAAAATTTTTTTCATTTGGCCAAGAATGTCCAAAAAAAATTTTTTTCTTTGTCAGTAATTTTATTTTTTCCGTAATTTTCTGCCTTAATTTGCCCTTTTAAAAAATAAAAGGGAAAAAATAAAAAAAGACGGCACAAAATATAGAGACAAATTTGCTTTGTGTGTGTAATTTCTAATGAGAAAAAAAAATAAAAGTTTTATTACGGAAACAGATGTGTGTGTTTGTGTGTGTGAGACTGCGCGTGTTGTCAACAAGTCTGGCAGCATTGATTTTTATTTAAATTGAAACAGAAAAATTAAGTTAGAATTTTCAGTTTGGAATTAGGTTTTTAAAAAAATTAGAATTTTTGATAAATCAGAATTTTGAAACCAAAAGTTGTAATAATCAGAATTTTTGTAGAATAAGAATTTTTAAAATCAGAATTTTTTGGGATCAGAATTTCTATAATTTTTAAAATCAGAATTTCATAAAATCAGAATTTCTGAAAAATCAGAATTTTCAAGAATCAGAATTTTTAATAAATAAGAATTTTTAATAACATATCAGAACATTCTCTACCATTTCTTTTTTTAATTCTTTTTGAGCTTTAATCCTTTACAACTTTTTTTTTAAATATTCTGATCGTTGAAAATATTTTTTCCTTTTTTCTTTTAAATTGTTCCTCATTTTCGTTCAATTAATTTATATATTTTTTTAAATAATCAAAACAAATTAATTTTCTTTTTTTTCTGCTGCGCATTCCTTTTCTAGACTAATCTCTCCCTCCCTTCCTTTAAATAATAAAAAATGTTTTCGCTAAAAATTAAAAAAAAGGAATTTTCCAATTGAGTGAGAAAACACGATGTTTTGAGTTAAAAAAAATTTTTAAAGGGGATTACATAAAATATTTTGTTTTTATTTTTTTTGTATTTTTTTAAAAAATTTTTGGACTAGCATTAATTATTTTTATCATTTTTTAAACTAAAAATTTTAGAAAAATTATAACATTTTTTAAATCAGAATTTTAAAAAATTTTAATAAACGAAAATTGAAAGGCGATAGTCCAAAAAAGTCTAAATTTTTTGGCGGAATATGAACTCTAGTTACTATATGCAACTATGCCATTTTTGGTGCAAAAATGGCATAGTTGCACCCCGCCCCTGAAACAATTCGAAAACTCCGTACCCCGACACAACCGTCTTTTAAATTTTCTAGATATTTCTTGACAAATTAGTACACTATACTTTATTTAATCTTAAATATTTATATTTTAATTAAAATAAAATTTTTTTTAATTTCCATCTTTTGGAGGGTTTCTAATAGTAGTAGAGATTATATAGGTATTGTATTAGTGCATTTTAAATTCTCTCTTTCATTGCGTGCACGCGCAGAGATTGTTTGGGAGGGATTAAATAAATAATATTTTTTGTTAAAAATTTTTATTTTTGTGCAAAAATGGCATCGTGAATAGTACAAAATAACGAGAAAATAATATTTTTAATATAGAAAATGAAGGGATAAAATGAAGGGGGTTGGGGATATTTTTTTTTATTTTAGTAATAAGTAATTGTAATTTATATAGTGATATGTTGCCACAGCTATATATAGTACAGACCGGGTCTAGGCGATATATCGGTCAAAAATCTCGATCATTGAGATCTCGATTTTTGTTCGACCCTCCCAGTCCGATCTCTACTAGTTAGTTTTTTTGTTGTCTTAAATTTTTTAACGACTAATAATTTTGGAAAATACATGTCTATAATGCTACGTTCACATAAAAAATTTCCTAGCGATTCGCGCGACAATTGCTAGGCGACATGTCTTCGGCAGAAATCGCAGCATTTTATGTCTTATATTTTTTCTCTCCTCTTTTTGCATTATCTTTTTTCTGTCGCAAATCGCATGCGATTTTTATGTGAACTTAGATATGGAGAGCAATGATTTACTCTACTACTATTTTATTAATTTTTATTTTTATTCATACTTCCTGTACTTGATGTATTTTTAATTTTTTTTTATTTTTCTTGTTTCTTGCGCGATTAGCGAGAGAAGGAGAGAGAGACGCTTAAATCTCTAAATTTAGTAAAATATGTATAGCAATAAAACAAAACGGGATATATTTTATATACATATTTGTATGCCTGTTTTTACAAAAAATATTATAATATTTTTAATACATTAAATCTTTTCTTTTTTTACTATTTTTTTATCCTTAATTTGGATTATTAAAAAAATTATTTTAAAAGCCACATATCCTGTCTATAAGGGGGAGGAGGGAGGGGAGGATTTTAAAAAAGGAGGGATGATGAGAGAAGAGGTTAAGGAAGCAATTTCTTAAATTAGAAAAAAATAAATAATAATCATTTTTCTAGGCTAAAATTTATTTTTAAATTTTTTTTTTTAAATTTTATTTTTTAAATTTTATTTTTTAAATTTTATTTTTTAAATTTTATTTTTTAAATTTTATTTTTTAAATTTTATTTTTTAAATTTTATTTTTTAAATTTTATTTTTTAAATTTTATTTTTTAATAAATTTTTTTTTAAATTTTATTTTTAATAAATTTTTTTTAATTTTATTTTTAAAATTTATTTTTAATAAATTTTTTTGATTTTCCCGCCTTGGTTGAGTTATTAAATAAAAAAATTTTTTTTGTTAAAAAAATTATTCATAAATATACTAAATATATATATTTTTATGATATTACTAAAAAAGCAATATTTTTATATTTGTAACAACAATAATAATAAAATTTTTTTTATTACCTTTTATGAGACATGCTTAGTTGAAATTATTACAAGGGGGGGGGAGGGGGGAGAACACCTTATAATTTTTTTGCTTTTTATTTATTAATAAAAAATAAATTCTCGCGAGATTTTTACTGATAAAAAGTACATACACTTTTTTCCTCTTTATTTTGTTTATTTTAATTTTTTTTTCTGATAATCTTTTAATAGAATTTGTCTAATTGTCAGATTTTTTCTAGCTATATTTTTCTCTTATTAATTTTAGAAAATTCTGTTTAATATATTTATATTTCAGAATTTATTTTTTTATTTTTAGAATTTTCTCAGATTTTAGAATTACACATTTTTTCAGAATTTTGGTTTAATTCTGAAATTTTTTAAGTTTAGAATTTCTGTTTTATATTTACTCCATTAATTTTTCAGAATTTTCTTCCTCAGAATTTTCCCTACCAGAATTTCTTTTGCAGTTATTTCAGAATTTCCTTCATCAATTTATTTCAGAATTTTCACCCAGAATTTTTATTATTTCAGAATTTCTTTTTAATTATATTTCAGAATCTCTTTTAGAATTTCTTTCGTAATTATTTCAGAATTATTTATTTCAGAATTTCTTTTTTTAATCATTTCAGAATTTCTTTTAGAATTTCTTTCGTAATTATTTCAGAATTATTTATTTCAGAATTTCTTTTTTAATTATTTTATCTTTATTTCTTTTATTTTACCGCCGCCAGAACGTCTTTTTTTTTCTCTTGTCGTCTTTTTTCATGGTTC